ACGTATTAATAATATTAAAATAAATATCAATTTTTATTTTTTTATATAAATTAATTACAAAAAATTATATTTATCACACTTTTAATTTATATATTTAAGATAAAAATTAAAGTAACACTATATTAATTTTAACATCAAAATTCATACAAGGGAAGGAAGAAAGTTCGATTCTATTGGATGGCATCGTCAATTCTTTTCTTCCAAAGATAACATAAATAAAATTGTTAGCAAATCATTTCAATCAAAGAGGTAACGTCCTAGTGGCAAAAGTCACAAAAAATCTTCTTGAAGTCATGTGTTCAAGCCTCCGGGGTAGCAAATTTAAGGTAAATCCTCCAAAGGATTTAAACCGTCCGGTTGAACGGTTTTTTGGTTTGTACTGGTTCGAACGGTTTTATCGGTTTCGAATTCGATTGTTTGTTTTTTATTTCGTCTGTTTAATTGTAGCAGTTCTTTTTACAACCCATATTTATTGCACACGTCTTTCAAAAGACAACTGTTGTATCACGTACTAACTCTGTGTCAGGCTTTTTAGACGAACCCAATTAAGCCCAACCCAAATACTTTTGTTCACATTCACATAAATGTTTCTCAATTTTACAAATGTTTACCCTCAGGTGACCTCGAGTTACACTTGTCACTTCACCTCCTGCCACAATGACTCCGATCATTACTTATTACTTCGACTTCGGCCACAGTGACTCTGGTCATTACTTGTTACTTCGGCTCTGGCAACAATGACTCCAGTCATTAGTTATTACTTTGGCTCCAACCACAATGACTTCGATTATTACTTATTACTTCGGCTCCGGCCATAGTGACTCCGAGTCACACATTTTACTTCGACTTCAGCTCCAGCCATAATGACCCCGAGTCACACATTTTACTTCGATTCCGGCCATAGTGACCCCAAGTCACCTATTTTACTTCAACTTTGGCCATAGTGACCCGGCATCACTCATCTTACTTTGGATCTAGAATACTCCCATCATTACTTGGTCTTACGATATTTCATTACATCTTATCATGTATTTCTCAATAAGGTATACACTTCCCTTACCACTTCTAATTACATCATTCACAAGTGAATGACTTCGAGGAGGGAATTGTGTAAGGATAGGTCCGAGATTCTTAACCTCGGAGGTATTGTTATGTTTCGTTGATAACCAAAATGAAGGTTAAATCCAGCACTTCCCAGTGAAACAGCTGCATAACAGGTACAGTGAACATGTCCACACCTGATTTCTCGGTCCCGAAATCATCACTTGAGGGTACACGTCACTCCGATTATCTTGTTAAGCAAGCCACGTGGGCACCTCACTAAGGCCTATAAATACCCCTCAGGGGCCATATCAAAAAAGTAATTGATACTGACCTAAAACTCCTTTTTCCATTATTCTAAAAGTAGATCCGATTATTGTTGACTTAAGTATCGGGGTGTCTACCTCGATGATCCACCTCGAGGCTTTGCAGGTTTATCCGAAGTGAAGACATGGACTGAAGAGGGACTTCTGATTTGATGCAATTACAGTATCGAGGTAGACTTTATATGTGCTTGATTTGTTCTTCGATATCTTGTTTAAACCATGTGGGTTCGCATACTCAGTCTGGGAATAGTCATGTGATATAGTGAAAATGAAAGATAGGAGAGAAAAATAAGGGAAGTCCAATTAGCGCTAGAATAAATTTCTCTAGAGAAAATATAAAAGAAATCTAGTAAAAAAATGAAGAAAATTTTTTGATATATTTCTCAAATAACTATTGGGATTTTTCTCCTGCATATTTCTCAAATAACTGTTTGAAAATCCAAAGATTACAGAATAATTCCAAAGAGAATCACAAAGACAGAAAGCTATGCGTTGAAGAAGACAATATTGTTGACAATTCTCAAATGAAACAACACAGCCTCTAATTACTAGTAATCTACACCAAAAGAACAAACAAGACATGAATAAAGCAGCAACATATGCTAAAGTTATATACTAATCCTACGTGGCTTCCAAGTCAGCATCCAAGTCCCACGTCAGCTCCAGATTCTCTCGCGTATCATCATGATATGGCGGTGGATGTTGAGAGAGCGGAGCTTTATTGTTGTTCGTGTGGCGATTAGGTCTATGATTCTAAATTTGAACGACTTTAGGACTTGCCTGGGAATAAAAATGGCGGTTTTGAGGGTATTGAGAGGTCTAGTAAGAGGAGAAAGTTGGTCTCGAGGTTGGATCTGGGGATCGATGATGACTCGAAGAAGGCAAGAAAGATATGTCCTCGGGAGATCAGAAGGAAAAATCGTGTTACCCTTCAGGATTGAGGGAATTAAACAATCTTGGTTGTACTTGTTTCGTGAATTCTGTGATGCGGGCTTTGCTTCGTGCACCCCCTTTAAGTAATTACTTCGCGATCGACATAATCATGATCAATGCGGGAACAAACCCGGGGGAAACCCATGTTTGCTTTGTGAAATTGGTACTGTTTTTCAGGCAATGCATTCCACCGATCATAACCTTTATAGCCTTTACAGGTGAGCCTTGGTTATTGCATTTTTTTATTTTTCCTCTCAGTATTAACAAGATATGGAATTAAGTTCTGAAATCAAAGAGTTCTGATTTTCCAATTATATGAATGATTTAGGTTTACTAGAGTAGTGCAAAACTAGGCATTTATGTGCTTTTTGATCTAGATTTAAGCTTAGCATTTGGGTACAGTGCTGTTAATTTCCATGCTATTTTAGAGATGGCAACTCTCAGTAATTCAGTGAATGGTGCTGAAAATTTGTATCTATTGCGCCCTAGAAATGTATGCCACACTCGGAACCTCTTTTTAATTAGTACTTGATTTCTCTTACACATCTATATTTTGCACTCTTGACCACGGAATCACGTATTTTAAGTTTTTAACTTTCATTAAGATATTTCTTTTTCTTACATTAAGCTGAATGTATGCTCATATTGTTTTTGTTCCTAAAATGAATGTAGTGTATATTGTTAATGTAACAGGTGAGTAATTGATAAAGTTGTTGCTACTATTGGCACAATTTCTGGTCACTTCTACAGTTTTTGTGGCAAGAGTGTTCTACCAACTCTGAAAAATTCCCTAAAGAGCACTGGACCTAATAATGCTTGGGAGAGATTGGAATGCTCAATGAAGGCGATGCAACGCTCAGTTAAGGAGTTGCAATTTCTGGTTTCAGTCCTGAATATGGAATCTAAGCACTGGGACTGGGAGTGGTTTATCAATGACTGGGAGGCAAAGAAACTGCAGGGTAAGCAGCAGAACAAATCTGAAACACAAGTACCTTTATAAGTAAAAGTCAGGATCAAGCAGTAAAAACCAAAACAAAACAAAAAACCTACCTTCATAAGTAGCTGCCAAACTCAGGTCCTTTGTCAGCCTTTTCAGTTCACCCTATCAGCTAAGGCCAGGCAGAGTACTCGAAAACTTGAAAAATAGGAAAATGTTAAGTAATTAATAATAATAATAAAACTATCAACCATCTCTCATTATAGGTTCCAAATTGAAAAGCGGTTAAGTACCTGTGCATCAGATTTGTTCAGCTGTCTATCCTGCAGTTTCTTTGCCTCCCACTCCTTGATAAACAACTCCCAGTCCCAGTGGTTACATTCCATATTCAGAAGGACTGAAACCATAAATTCCAGTTCCTTAACTGAGCATTGCATCTCTTCACTGAGCATTCCAGTCTCTCACAAGCGTTCAGGTCCAGTGCTCTTTAGAGAATTTTTCAAAGTTGGAAGAACACCCTTGCCACAAAACTGTAGAGGTGACCAGAAATTGAGCCACTAGCAGCAAACCCAATAGTTCTATATTTACCTGCTAGGAATGCACAAAAGAGTATGAGAGATTAAAAGACTGCATTATAAATAAAAGTTAAAAGTAGCTAAAGAAAAATACCAATGCACTTTTCAATCCAAAGTGTAATGAATGCATAATATTAGCTATTAGTGGTCAACCAACCCACAATAGCCAAAAGAAATAGACAGGAACTCCCCCACCCCACCCCACAAAAAGGGCTAAAAAAGAGACAAAAACCATAAAAAATACCAATAACTTCACTCCCCAATAGTTGAATCAAATAGTATACACCACACCCCAAAAAAAGGAAGGATAAAAGAGACTAAAACCATCACAAAACCAAAACTTCCCTCAGCAATAGGTGAATCAAATGATATAAATATCTTCAACTATATCATTAGAGAATCATTAATATAACTCATAAATAAACATTGAAGTCATTCACTAACTTAAAATACTCTAGGAGAAGCAAGATAATCTGTCTGACATATATTTTTCAAGTTTGAGACAAACTGCTTGTAATCATTTACAATTTTGATAAACAAACAAATGATATCATAAACTTAAATATAAATATGCAAGAAGTAAAGAATAGAGAATGGCATCCATGTATAAATCAAACACCATACCGCATCGCTTTTCAAGCTTGTCATGGTAGAGAATACGTTTAGAATGAATTTTTTCCCCCTTTCCTCCAGAAAACATGCTCGCACTACATTTCCAACAAAGAAAAGTGAGATCGTAAGTACACACACAAACTTAAAGGTGTCACCTCACAAGCCACCATAACCACAAAATTTGCACCACTCTGAACACAAACAAGATAAAAATTATCAATTTGATGATGGACAAAATTAACCCGAACAAAAAGGGCCTACGACTGCGATATTACCAGAGGTAACTGACCTTGAAATTACCCCTTTTTCTAAGAAAATATCACTGACCCTTGTACTTTATAACATTGTAAAGCAATATATGATATATAAATATATCAGCATTATACCCAAGCCAAAACTAAACAGAGCGTAGTTTAGTTAGGGACTTTACCGAAATAGTTCAAAGATAAAGATTCCTGCAACTGACTTCCTTTTCTATCTTAAGGTTGTTCTCATCCACATATGAGAACTGACCATCAACAGCACCAGAGCAACAACCGGTATCAGCATTAGCATTAGTGCCAGCATCAGCATGAGCACCAGCCCCACCGCCAGCACTATGAGAAGAGGAATTAAACCCGAAAATGGCTTCAGCTCTTCGTATAAGATCTTCAAAAGAAAAGGTATGTTAAAAAAAAATTGAGAAGCAAGAGCAAAGAGAGGGCAGTGAAAGTACACAACGGGCAAGGCAAGACCAGTAACAGTGGAACATTAACAAAAGTTAAAGCTGAAGCACATGCATGTTCATGTGTTAAGATAGATGAGGTTATTGCTAAAATTCTTTACAATTGTTTCAATTGGGCATTTGGATTTCAACAAGACTACAGTACAATCAAGCAACACAACAAATAAATATATATCAGCAATCTTAGCAAAAAAAAAAAAAAAAGGAACTTTATAGATTTCAAAGTTTTAGAGTAATGTAGATTCGACATGTATTCAAGAAAATAATGAAACATGTTCCCTTTTCTATCTTAAGGCTGTTCTTATCCACATATGAGAACTGACCAATTGCACGAATGTAACAACTCGTGTCAGCATCAGCACCAGTGCCACCACCAGCCCTATTAGAAGAGGAATGGAACCCCAAAATGGCTGCAGCTCTTTGTATAAGATCTTCAAAAGAAAAGGCATGTTAAAACTTAAAAGAAGAAATGAGAGGCAAGAGCAAAGAGAGTGCAGTGGAAGTACACAATGGGCAAGGTAAGAGCAGTAACAGTGGAACTTTAACAGTAGGAAATTCTTCTGAATTGGCTAGGCTGCTGCACAAGTTGATCAACAGCAATTGCATCCTCCCCAGCTTTTTTACTGAGTTTGTGACGAGCCACGGGATTGAGACACAACCCCATGAAACACCTTTTCATGGCCTTTTCTTCTAATTCATCCCGCAGCCTTTTTGCCTTTTCAGTAACGTACTCGTCTGCTTTAGCCATCCAGTTTGTGACCTGCAGTTCAATCTCCTCTGCTCTTCGCTTAGCCTCGTCAACATCGTGTTGGATGCTCTGTCTTCTACCAACCAGCGTCGTCAAGTTGTCGTTCAGCTTCTTTACATTTTTGTTGCAATTGAGCACAAGAGTGATTGGGTTTTTGATTAGCTTCAAAAAAATCCGATCAACCAGGGTCCCA